AAAGGCTTTTAATTAGGGTTTGAAAGCAAAATAAGGGACTAAATTCTGTTTCAAATGATTTAATTTCATTAAATGAGTTGAATTTGAAAACACAAATCGTTTGAGCATTTATTTAGTTATAATTATATTAATTCCTATTAATGAGACATTTAAATGAATAAAAACAAGAAAAACATTTGTGATTATGAAAAGCGATCGGCTCTTAAACAACGGATATAAACTTGCATTGAATTGTACGCAAACCTGAAACACGCATATATAAAGTACACTTTATATTGTATATTAATCCCCCATTTAGTAGTAATTAAATTATATTTATATAATCATAATATAATTAACAGTTATTAGTATATTTCATATGTTATTCAATATAATATATAAATATAAGTAACAAATAAGTTATTAAATGTATTTGATTTGTGTTATACATAAAAAAGACGTTTTGCGTACAATTTGTTTAAAACAATTCATTTATCAATTATTTTCAAAATAATTAAAGTTGTTTAGAGATCGGCTTCAGTCATGACATTCAATGAGAAGGTGGCGCTCGAAGTGCCCGTTTCGTCGGTCGCTCGGGCTGTGTATTGGCCCACATCTGCTAACCTTATCGAAGGTATCGTTAAACTGAACTTATTATCGCTGGCTTTACTCGTCTGACAACCGCTGGACTCTTCTAATGGTTTCGAGTCTTTAACCCATTCAACTGAGCGGTACATCAAAGCAAACCATTAGACAATCAACTTTTTATTTCACTATTGTGTATAAGATTTACCTGTTTTAGCACTTCTAATGGTCTCTAAATTGAATGTAATTTTGGAGCCCTCATGGGTTGTGATTGATTGCGGGAATACAGTAATACCCGGCCCTTTAGGCTCTTCGTTTGGCACTGGAATTAATGTGCGAAACAAATGTTAATCTCATATATTGGATGAGAATTGATTGATGCGATAATAAGACATACCGTTGACATCAAGAGTACAACTACTGAATGCCTCTCCGGCGTCATTGAATGCCTCACACGTGTAAATACCAGAGTCTTCGGGGAATATCTCAGGAATTTCGAGCAAATAGTTGTCGCCTTCGGTCTTATAGAGGAAGTCTGGGCTCGACTTAATCTCTTTGTCGTTATGCAACCACATTATGTCGAATTTGGTTTGACCTCAAGAGATAACATACATTCTCAATACAACTGATCTCGTGTTGGAAATGGCATTTGTCTTACATTTGATGGTACACTTGAGAGTGACGGGTGAGCCATCACTAACGGATCCGCTGGTCAAGTGATCTACAATTCGTGGCGGCTTTGAAGGACCCGTTTCTTTAGGCTTCTCTTCCATTGCTTTATTATTCAAATAATATTTTACATTAAAATT